TATACAGGAATATTATTATAGGAAAAGTATACAGTAGCATTCTACATCAAAGTCTGGATTGAATCAAATAGGGTTGATTTTTCAACTGATAAGAGAGGTACCATGGAATCTCTATGGGTAGAAATCCCAGATGTCAATTAAAAAAATAAGTATGTTTGCGGGTATACTGTCAACCCCGAGACTGGAACAGCAGAAGTGAGCTAGAAATGCTAACGGGGTTGAGAGAGGCCGTGACAGCAGAAAACATAGTAATAATGGGGCTTCAACTGTCTACAGATAGACTGGGTGAATCTAGCATCAAGTTGGGATGCAGAGACCAAACTTCTTGAGCAGTTAGTTCTGGAATCTACAAGAAGAAAAGTCATTCCTGATCTAGTCCTAAATAGTGCACAAGATTTGGCACAAAGTGTAAGTGTTACTGAGACACAGAGTTGAAGAGGCAATAAGCAGAAAAAAGGTGCCTTTCAAAAGGTGTAAGTCAGATCCTAAAGAGGAAAATAAAAAAGAGCTGGCAAATCAAATGTAAAACTGCAATAAGACAAGCTAAGAGAGAATTTGAGGAGAAACTTGTTAGAGACACAAAAGTAACAGTAGCAATGTCTTTAAGTATATGAGAAACCGTGGACCTGCCAGGGAATCAGTTAGACCTTTGGAGTATCAGGGTGTTAAAGGGGAGCTAAAGTATGATGGTGATATTGCCATTTTTTACATCTGTTTTCACTGTGGTAGATGTTTGGGAGATTTCCCTCAACAGATCCCTCCTCTCTAGTGGAGCTGACCCAAATTGGGGTCTCTGTAGATGAGGTTGTAGAGGCAATTGATAACCTAAGCAGTAGCAAATCACCAGGACCTGATGACATTCACCCTAGGGTCCTGAAGGAGCTCAGATCAGAAATCGCTGAACTTCTAATCGTAGTATACAACCCGTCACTAAAAACAGCCTCAGTACCAGAGGACTGGAGGGTTGCCAATCTCACGCCCATATTTTAAAAAGACTCTAGAGAGGATGCAGGGGAAACAATATTAATTAAAAAAAAAAAGAATTGTTCTGCACGTGGATGAACATTACTTACTGGGGAGGAATCAACACAGTTTTGTCAGTGGGAAATCATGTCTCACCAAGCTGCTAGAGTACTCTGAGGGTAAGCAGTTGGCTCAGTGTGATCCAGTTGGCATAGTATATATGGACTTCTTAAAAGCCTTTAACAAGATCCCCCATCAGAGGGTCTTAACAAAGTTAGGTAGTCACAGAATTACAGGGAACATCCACTCATGGATTAGAAGTTGGCTCAAAGATAGAAAGAAAAGAGTTAGTATAAATGGTCAGTTTTCAGGACGGAAAGAAGTAAATAGTGGGGTCCCCCATGGATCTGTGTTGGGACCACTGCTGTTTAACATATTCATAAATGGCCTGGAAAAGGTGGTGCATAGGGGGGTGGCCAAATTTGCAGATGACACTGCAGCAGGACCACACCCCAGTGGTGGCCATACCACCTCCTGGTGGCCACGTGGCTCCTGCCTCCCCATTCCATCTCCTTCGGGTGCTCTCCCTTTTCCTTGTCTGTCACGCCTTGCTGGATGTATTGTGCTGTTAAGGGACGCTGCCCAGGGTCCCCAAGTGAGCTCTTGTTCACCTTGCCTGGCTGGTACCCCTTGGGCATTATGTTATAGCCTTCTGTCTCTATCAGTGCCTCAAAGCAGCAGTTGCCTTATGGCCTGTATTTGTGGTCTCCTTCCTTCCCTGGAGCCATGCCCATGCCTTGCAAATGTTATTCCATGTTCATTGGAGGGGGTGCCCTGGCCCCAACACAGCTCTCAGACTTCAAGCCTTGAACTTCTGTCTTGGCCTCAGCCTTCCCAGCCTTGGCCGTTTTATTCTGGCTGCCCCCCTCAGACCAGGTCCACTGCCCTGGACCTTGCCTCCTAGGCCCCAGCTTTGTCTTGCCCTTGCATGCTTTGGGCCCCTGGCCACTGCCCCTGTGCACTCTGGGCCCCTGGCCTCTTTCTTCTGCACTCTGGGCCACCCTTCAGCCCTCAGAGTCCCTGACCCCAGGGTAGACTGACTTCACTGTCTGCCCTTTGTAGTGTCTACCCTCCCCCCCATGACTGCTCTCCCTGCAGGAAGCAGAGACAGACTGCTTGTTCAGCCTCAGGCCCTGGGCATGTGTACCTCAAAGCCTCACCCCTTCCTTCCCTGTGGTTTCCATGCAGGGATTTCCACTTGGGCCTGATGGCCAGCCTGCCCTCCTTTGTTGCAGTAGCTGCCTCTGCTTTGTGCAGCAGCCAGCTGCTCTCCCCAGGGGCCTTGGCCCTTCTTGCAGGTACAAAATTATTCAAAGTAGTAAAGACCAAGGCAGACTATGAGGAGCTACAGAAGCATCTGGCACAATTGAGTGAGTGGGCAATTAAATGGCAGGTGAATTTCAATGTAGCTAAGTATAAAGTGATGCACATGGGCAAAAATAACCCAAACAATACCTACACTATGATGGGCTCTATGTTAGCTGTTAGCACACAGGAAAGAGATCTGGGCGTCATTTTGGGCAATTTGCTAAAAACATCAGCGTAGTGGTCAGCAGCCATCAAAAAGGCAGACAAAATGTTAGGGTTTTGTAAACAAAATGGAAAGTATCATTATGCCCTTTGATAAATCCATGGTGCATCCACACCTTGATTACTGTACCCAGCTCTGATCCCCACACCACGAAAAGGATCTAGGAGAACTAGAAAAGGTCCAGAGAAGGGCAACACGGATGATTAGCAGTAAGGAGGGGCTTCCATGTGAGCAGCGATGGAAGAGGCTAGGCCTATTCAGTTTACAGAAGAGATTTTTGGGGCAGCAGAGGGGAGGGGGAGGAGCATGATAAGGGTTTGCAAAATACTAAATGGCAAAAAGAAAGTAAATTGGGGTGCATTATTTACTCTCACACACAGTACAATAACCAAGAGTTACAAAATGAAACTAGTAAGTAGCAAATTGAAAACTAACAAAAGGAAATTTTTTTTCATGCCGCATGTAATTAAAGTGTGGAACTCACTGCCACCAGATTTTGTGAAAGCTGCCAGATTAGCCAAATTCAAAAATGGACTGGACAAATTCTTGGAGGAAAGGAGCGTCAGTAGCTATTGAGTTTGGGAGTTAGGGGTACAGCTTTTGAATCAGAATTTCCCAGCCCTTAAATGCTGGAGGCTGCAAGTAAGAAAGGCAAGTGGAAAAAACCCTGATCATAGCCAGTTTGCTCTCGTTTTCAGCATCTACTCTGCAAGTGTGTGACACAGGCTACTGGGCAAGCTGGACCTATGGTTTGACCCACTAAGTGGTAGTTCTTATGCTTTTACGTTCTTCTAATCTTTCGCTTGTCAGATTCCTCCAGGATCAAGTTGAAAACTGGGTGTCTGAAAACCCCAGAGGGTTTTGAGGCTTGGACCAAAAATCAGCTGATTGCAGGTCCCACCCTGGCACTGCACCAGAGCCAGTTCAAGACTCCGGCATGTGGCCAAGGCTGGTCCAACAATCATCGATCTTTGCATATTAGAAATTGTTACTGTGCAACTGCTCAGAACATATTTTAACTTTAATACCACACAGATTTAACATGTACTAAGTGTCCCATGTGACAAGACCCTATGCATCCCAGTGTACTACACAGTGGAAAGGGGGTGTAACTGCACCTCCCATCCCCTCTGGATCTTCCCTGTGTGTGAGGTTAATGAGCCGGAAAGATGATATTAGCAGTAATGTTTTAAAGGGACAAATGGGGAGGGTGTCAAGTTGCAGGCATCAAGACACAAAGATTATAGCCTGGGCAGTAGTTGTGCCCCTTTTTTGTCTAGTCCACTCAGAGCTCCTTTAAGCCTTTAAATTTAAATTGACTTATATTCTATGTGTGTGTGTGTTTTCCATGCTTATATGTTTTTTTCCTGTTTTTTTCCCCCCAGGAACCAGTGAAGACCTATTCCATGATTCTGAAGGGAGGGAAGGATCTGAGCCAATTGAGGAGCACCAGTTTTCAGATTTGGAGGAATCTGATGATGATGATGACAATGAAGATGATGAAGATGAGGAGGGAGAGGAGAGCCAAGATGAGCCACCTTTAAAGTTGTCAGAAGTAAAACATACCACCCTTCCAATGCACTCTTCAGGGGGCTCTCCATTTTCCCACGAGGAAAATACTGGGACAGCATTGTCTTTAACACAAGATACTGTCTCCAGCAGCCAGCAAGTAGGTGGGGGCCACCAACCCTCTTCCTCAGGGCTGGAAACAGAATGGTCAGCAGACAGCAGTGGAATTGTTGTCTGCCACAGTTTCTTGAGTCTCCATAAGCCAGCTTTGACCTCCAGTGAACAGCTGGCTTCTGCTGAAAGGGAATCTGTCACAAGACAGCAGATGTCCTTAGCTATGGACCTGTCAACCTCAAAAGACACCTCCCCAAGAAAGAGGTGGTCTCCAGGCCAGGAATCTGGTGGTGGTAGCAGCAGCAGCAGGCCAATGCTAGCCAGAAAGCACTTGTTAACCAAAAATGAAACTTCACCTAAACGTTTTTCACCCACTGGAGAAATGTCTTCACTAAGGTGCTTGTCTCCAGGGAGAGCGATGTCACCTTGTCAGCGCATGTCCCCAAGGAGAGAGGCATCTCCACTGAGATGTGTGTCACCAAGACTTGAGCTGTCTCCAAGCAGGCATCTTTCCCCAAGAAGAGAGTTATCCCCAAGAACATACCTCCCGCCAGAGAGAGAAGTCTCTCCTGTGAGGCATTTGTCTCCAAGTAGAGACATGTCATCAGTCAGATATTTATCACTGAAGAAAATGTTGTCTCCAGGCCGTTCAGATTCCCCGTCTAGGTATCCATCCCCAGGGAAAGAAGACTTGCCTGGTAGTAGCAAATCTGCAGCAGATGACAAGGTTCAAAGCTCATTAAAAGTCCAGCATGGAATGTTATCTTTGATGCCTCTACCTCACAGGTTCTTTGGCAAAAACGTAGAGCTCTATGAGTCCAAATTGGTAAGCACCACTTATTCTTCTGCGTTCATATTCCACGGTCATTTTAGTAAATACTTTCTCTGATTGCTTTTAATGAATGCTATGCACTGGGAGGTGCTACATGGACTGCTCTGAAAACTGTTGTCGTTTCCTAACGTATAGGATGGGGAAAAGACAGGCTGCAAAAGTTTACTACTTCATATGATATCAGAGGGGGTGGGAAGATTTTTCACTTTTTGACCTAATCGGTCCTTGGCCTTTCTTCTGAGACAGACAAAAACGGTGGCCACTTAATGGTGATGGCAGTTGTTGCTTTGTGGTAGTAACACATGTCCTTTGGGAATCTGAGATCACTAACTCATCTCTCGGGAACTGCCATGAGATTAACCATGTTTATTTGCTACTGATCTAAACAGATTTGGACCAATGAAAAGATTTCAGGCATTTATAGACATGCTCTGGGAGCCAGGGGGGAGGGGAGTGCTTTAATTAATCTGAGAGCCGTACTAATTAAAGCACCTGGAGCATCATGTGTATCTCCCATGCTGAAAAATGGTAGAGGGGGTGCCTGAACTAAAGCTCGTCAAACGAGCTTTAGTTTAAAGCGTGATGCCAGCATTTTTCAGCATGGGGATGCTGATACACGTGTGCTGGAGACTACTGAAGCACATTAGTTTCCATGCTCCAGCAGACTTGATTAATCGAGCCTGCTTCAATGTGCTGCAGCCTCCCTGCCTGTGTATAGATGCCATTTATGTCCCACTGTTAAGTACCAGATTTCCAGCTAGGTTCACTTGGTTAACTGTTGAGGAATATTTATTCAGATGTCTCTGATTTCATCTTACTTGCTCCTGCAGCACAGCTTAGTACCTTCCCCATTGGGTCCCCACAACAATTAGTCTTGCCTTTCCTGAGCATATCAAACCCCATGAGTAAAGGAAGCTAGGGTACTTCTTCCATAGACATAAACCAGTCAGATCTTTTGGTTTCTCAATGAATCTCCTACCTCCGTTCCTACCAGCATACCTTCCTATAAAAACAATTATATATTTGACTACCCCATAAATTGCTTTGGTGTAAATCAGACATTATGCTACTGGCTATTGTGAAACTGGTGTAAGAGAAAGGTCAAGTCTGTAAAGACAGTGCTGGCAGAGAAGAGGACTTATAGAACTGCTGTTGTAATAACTGATCTCAGATACAAGAAACACCTCCCTCAACATGTTCTCCTCTCCCCACCCGTGTGTATGATAACAATAACCTTATTTCATTCTGGCATTTTCTTACATATTTGGGCTTTTATTCCATTTTCTTTTATATCCTCAAACCCTGTCAAGTCCCAAGCTTCCACTTTCTTTAAAGCTATTTCAGTCTGCTACAGAACAGTATCTTAGGACAAATCTTGGTGCTACAGCAAACAAAACTAATTATTATATAAGTCATACATGCACCCACAAAGCAAATATTAGCATCCTAGCCCTTCAGATCCCCAAATTTGGACTCACTGAAAGAACCTTCCGTAGCTAGAGCTAATAACAACTTTCCGTGTGCCTCTCTGGGCAGCTAGTAGAGGACAACATTCATCATACCAACATCTATTCGACATGTCAAATACCTAAGTGAACTTAGGCACCTAAGCATGATCTTATTCCATCTTCATTATAGTTGTTTTTCAACCTGCTCAAGTCCCTGAAAAATACATGTGAACAGACCTGCTTTTGTTACATACCAGGCACGTCTACACGAGACACTATGGTCCAGTAGCAACAAGATAGTGTGCCATAGCTCATTGCTACTGCACAGTTGCATTGCCAGGCACTAACCACATGGTGATGATACAACGCAGTAATACCAACCTACTGTGCAGTAACTCATTGCTACTGCACAGTAGCATCAGGCAAAAACTATGTGTTGATGGTACTGCATAGACACACTGGTTGCTGCACAGTCCTTTAGTGCTTGCTTATGCCTAGTAATAACTGTGTAGAGTAACAACTGTTCAGTGGCTTGTGTAGATGCACCCACTGTTATCTCTGACTTTCAGGCTAAAGGACAGATTCTGTTTATCCCTCACACATCTCAATGGCATATCATTACCCACACTAGCTTAGTAAGCACATGCTCAGCAGGGCTGTGCTCAGGCTGTGCAGCTGTCCAGGTATGCATACTAGCAAAGTGCTCTGACCACCAGTCTATGGGCTAGGCATTGGCTACAACTCTCTTCCTGAAGTTGGCCCATTATACCTTGAATTGAGTTCTTATTGATGAAAATGGATAAACAGCACTGGGAAAGTTTCTGTTTCATTGGGCACAGGGGTCCAGGGCAACCTTCTTTCCAAGACAGTACCCAACTCACTGAGCCATGCACTTTCTGCCTTATGTGCTTCCTTCTGGCTCCACATTCCCTCTTCTTCGCCCCCAACCTACAAGGTAGCTTCAAACTGCTCATAAAGGTCAAAATGCAGCACATGTAGGCATGTGAAGGGTAAATATGATCTGGCTGTACCTCAGAAAAAGCAGAGATTGTGAGGAAGACTCATCCACCATATGTATAAGCTGTTTTTCTTGGCCCCAATCCAACAGGATGAAAGAGGATCATTGTAGGTGCCTAAGTCCACTTAAACGTCTCACTGGTAAAACAGAATTGGGCCCTATGTGAGTAACAATGCTTTTAGCAAACAAAATAATAACCTAGGGTCTACAAATATGCTTATAATCTGAGAAGTGACTCTGTTTTCTTCTATATGTCTACTTCTTGTGCACCTGCACATTATCTCTGGTCACTACAGACACAGACATATTTTTGGTCTTGCTTTCCCTGACAGACCAAAGCAGCTATGTGAATTTGAACTACAGCCAGTTCCCTCTCGCAGGTCATTACAGAGACTGTCAGCTGTGTTCATGCAGCAGAATCTTTTTTTTCTGGTAAGGAAGTAAAAAGCAGAAAGAACAGAGCTGGATTTTCAGACTTGAGGTGGAGCTGCCGGAGGTGGTGGTCAGAAACATGGTCCATTAACTTACTTTAACCTGGAGTCACTGCAATGCAGTAGAGAATCCCATTGTATCATTTCTTCCAGTGCTTTCATTAGTTAATAGTTTTATTACACTCTGATATAGAGGCTGTAGTCATAATCAACATTCATTGTATTAGGCACTTCAAACACACACAGAGACACAAAACCAGGTCTCAAGGGTGCTTATTTAGACCAGGTTGCCCTTTGCTCTACAGACATAGGCTAGAAGTGATGCTTCACAGGGCACCTACAGCATTCAGTCTTCTCTGAAATCCAAAGTAATGGCCCATGTTATGACTTCAGAGACTGCACACACAAGGAAATGGAACAAAGTTGAGCCCTTCCACTAATATCCCATTGCAGCCTCTACTGTGCCAAGATCCCAAAGCAATTAAATTAGGATTCTCAAACCTTCAGGTCAGGTTTATTGTACACACATGCATTTGTGTGCACACACACACATATTCCTTTTGGTTGGTATGTCTCATTTTAAGGATAAAGAACAGCAAACGTTGGTTATCTACTTAGTTAACTGCTCCTTTAATTTATTCCACAGTTGAGACCAGAGTTGCACCTGTGAGAGCTCCAGAACTTAAGGAAGGCACCCTTACACTCGG